AAAAAATTAATAAAGGGGCTGGGCACATAGGTCAATGTGAAGGCGGGTTCAATACCTATTATAAAAAAAAAAAGACATCAGTATTAATGGCCCATGACAAGAACAAATGGCATTCACTATCTTAATATATTAGTCATATTAGTAATGTTTGCACAGTGTTATTCATGCAAATATTATTAGCCTGAGTCAGGGGCAGTCACTAAATCTAGCATTAGGCTCACAGTTGAGCTCTACCTCTCATCCCAGATGTGGAGTTGAGACTTCTAAATACACGCCCCTATGGAGCTAGAGGAGCCAATCGGGGCTTGGAAGGCGTGGCCCTGGGAGCGACAACAGTGCTACCCAATGGGTACTCAGCAGGGACCACCCTTGGCCAATGGGCGCGCCCCTTCTCGACGGTCGGAAGCGGTGAGGCGGCTTGGGGCCGTTGTTCAGTGCTGTGTCTCTCCTGAGGAGTCTCGGTGTCTGGCGAGCGAGGCGATTCAGTGTTTTCTCTGTCGTTGCAGGTGAAGGACGGCGGCGGCCCGCTCCATGGTTGCTTCCGCGGTGTCAGCTCCGGGAGGTGGCTGGCGTCTGGGGGAGGGGCACGGGCGGGGAGCGGGGAAGCGGTGAGGCGGCTTGGGGCCGTTGTTCAGTGCTGTGTCTCTCCTGAGGAGTCTCGGTGTCTGGCGAGCGAGGCGATTCAGTGTTTTCTCTGTCGTTGCAGGTGAAGGACGGCGGCGGCCCGCTCCATGGTTGCTTCCGCGGTGTCAGCTCCGGGAGGTGGCTGGCGTCTGGGGGAGGGGCACGGGCGGGGAGCGGGGGCTGTGAGGCGATGCAACTAGCTGTGGGCGTGGGGGTCGCGAGCGTCCCGGTGTGGCTCTCCGCCCGAGGGCCCGGGTTCGAGTCTCCACTGCGATCAGCTGGTGCGGCGCTGGCTCCTTGGCGCTTCCGCCTTCTCTATGTCTGGCGATGGAACGATGATTTTCATCTAGGAGTGGGGTCGGGAATTAAAAAGGCTGCAGGTGTAAAGGATTAGCGGTGAATTGCCCTGTGAATCAGGTGCTCGCTCCTCCTATCCTCGTCCTGCTCTGGGGGCTCCTGACAGCTGCCTCCGAAGGGTGCACGCCTTACCTCTGCCAAAGCCCTTTCATGCTTTCGCCCATTGACTCATCGCCACGATCCTTGGAAATGTTGTCAGTCGCCTGCCTCAAGAGTGAGCCCTAAGGGGGTTTAGTCAATCACACGAAGGGAACTTAATTCCCAGAGTTCGCTCATCCTTGGTTCCCGTGTAGCTAGAAAAATGGACAGCCCCCTCAAGCTGTAGATGATGATGATGATGATGATGATTGAGACAGGGCCTCGTGTTGTAATTCAGGCTGGTCTTGAATGCACTGTGTAGCGCAGACTGGCTGGAACTCTTAGTGATTGTCCTGCCTCAGCCTTCCAAATGTAGAAATTAGAGGTGTGCACCACCACACCTGGCTTTTTTATTTTTAGTAGTACATATTTGCACTACATCATAATTACATTCCTCATGGGGAGTTGGTACATGTACGTAAGACATCTTTGTTCTTTTTTTTGGTACCAGGGATCGAACTCAGGTCCTTGCACATGGGAGGCAGGCGGAAGAACCACTGAGCTAAATCCCCAGCCATTTGTTCTTTTTTTATCCCTTTTCCCTCCCTACCCTTCATTTTCCCTCCATCTCTTGGTCCCCTTCCCCTTTTGCAAAAGATCTATCTTCCTGTTTCCTATTATCTATCTACAGTGATTGATTGTCTTTTTGAGACAGGATCTCCCTGTGTAGTTCACACTGGTCTTGAACTTGTGGCGATCTTGCCTCAGCCTCCCGAGTGCTGGGATTATAGGTATGTGGCATTAGTCCCAGCTTACCTTTTACTCTATTTTGCTCTTTAGTTTTGGGTTTCTCTCAGAATAGAAACTGTGTGATATTTAAGCTTGTGTCTCATTTAGTTCACTTAACCTTGGTCCCAAGGTGCATCCATTTTCCTACAAATGACTCCAGCTTATCCTTCTGTATGGCAGAGTGGTACTCCATTGTGTATAAATACTACCTTTTCTACATATTTAAATATCTTACATCTGCTGTTGCCTTAAATTCTCCAGCTAAAGAAAGTGCTTTTCAAGAGGCTTCTGTAAGCTGAGTCAGGGCTCCTCCAGAGGGTCACGAGGAGGAAGTGGGTGGCCGTTGTGGGTCCCCTTCTTCATCCTCACATTCTAACTCAGCCCTGAGCTAAGTAGGTTGTAGTTGCTGGGAAGAAGTATTTCCCTTGAACTTGGAATTACTGGTGAAGAAAGGTGAACCATAGAGCTAGCCCTTGGTACTCCTGGCCATGAAGAACTGGCTGGCTACTCTGGAGATGGCCGTGACCCTGTGCTCCACTAGGAGCAGTTCCAGGAGACTGTCGCCAGTCATCCATTGTGGAGGTCAGGGACATCAGGAGGTGGAAGCCGATGCTGGGTTGCAGTATGGCTGCAGCCGCTGGTGTCCAGCAGGTGGTTGCTGGTTCTGTTCTGGCAGCTACCTCTGGGCTTTGTGGCCACTGGGAAGTACACTCACAAGCAAAGAACCAGGTTGTCCCTGTGGCCCAAGCATGCCACCTGGGGATCAGTGTGCCTGGGCCTGGGAAACTGGGCTGAGCTGCACCTTTGCAGTCCGCTGGAGCACAGGCCTGGGAGCATATGGTTGAGGCAGGAGCCAAAGGGGAGGCAAGTGTCAGGGTCCTGGGGCACAGAGGCTGCCCAGGCTGCATAGAGAAGTGGACAGATGAGTGGCAAGGCTGGGGCTCTAGGGAGTGGTGCTCATTTCCCTACAACTGTAGCCTTAGCCTGGAGTTGGCTGCTTAGTAGCTTGTGGTAGAGGAAGCACACCTATAATCAGTCTGTCTGCCCAGAGAAAAGTATTTAGAGACTTTCCCTTTTAAGGAACAAGGTTTGTTTTCATACATAGGGGCTTCCTATTCCTAGCAGATATTTGCTGTGGGAGCAGATATCTTGAATTATTTCAGTCCCTAGTTAAAAACCCTTCAATAATTTTTTCATTGATCTTGAAATATGATCTATCTCTTTCCTATATGATACAGTCTTTTCAAATCATTCTTTTTTTGTTGTTTGTTTTATTTTTGGCAATACTGGGATTTAACCTATGGCCTTCACACGCAGCTACATCCCTACCTCCTTTTTTATTTTGAGACAAGTTTTTACTAAGTTGCTAAATTTCCCTGGCTGAGCTTGAATTTACAATTCCCCTGCCTCAGCCTTCCAGAGTGCTGGGAGTGTAGGTATGGGTCACCACACCAGGCTTCCTCTTTTTCAAAATGCTACTAGTGCACATCTACTTTACTTTCTCTTTCATTTCCTAAGGCCTTTGCTCTTCCCAGTAATTAGGTGGAGTTTCCCTACTCTTCCTCCCTTGTTACTGCCTGGCTGGCTCTTTGTATTTGAAGTCTTAGTATAAATGTCATCTCCTTGGAAAATTCTTCCCTGACTATCCTTAGATTCTCCATCCCCATTTGTCTTTTTCTTAAAAAAACTTACCTTGGATTATATTTTGTTTTTGCCTGTTTTACTTGGCTACTGAAAATTAATTGGTCTGTTTGTCAGACACTGTATTTAATTTTAAAATATTCTTACAGAATCTGAACTAACATGTTGAGTGGATAAATAAATACATTTTGAAAAGTGGGTTGGATAATTCCAAAACCATTGTAGATTCTTCTTAAGGGATAGTATTTAAGACCATTTAAAAAACAACACAGCTAAGGATTTAGTTTAGTGGCTCCAGGCCTGCCTTGCAAGCTCAAGGTGCTGAGTTTGATCCCAGTACCCAAAGAAAAACCACACAAAAAAACCAGTAGTAAAGTTGTCAGTAATTTGCTTTCTACACTGACGTTGTGGTTAAAAAGAAGGGAAAAATTTACATTGAAGAAACCTGGTAGACACCATCTCACCTAACTAATCAGTTAACATCACCAGTAATAATGAGTGTTGACATCGTGTGCCTTCTGATATAATGCACACAAAATGGGCATGGTGTCACTTCTGAGGTATAATGTCCAAAATGTATAATGTGAATTTGATCCTGAGAAAACAGACAAACCCAAATTGAGACTTTAAATGAAATAACTACCCAGTAGCTAGTAATTGTTAAAAACTTCTAGTAGTCAGTAATTTCTAGTTAAGCTAATAATTAGCTGAATAAATCATGAAAGACAAAGATATGCCTCTGGGCATGGTGGCGCATGCCTATAATCCCAACATTCTGGAGGCTGAGGCAGGAGGATTGCCATGAGTTCAAGGCCGGCCTGGACTACATAGTGAATTCAAGGCCTGGCTCAACTACATAGCAAGACCCTGTCTCATGGAATAACAATAATGATAATAATAATTAATAGTATAATGAAATACTGAACAGGCATCCCAGGTCCTAGAAGATTAAGGAGAAATAATGGATACTGATCCAGAAAAGGGCATCAGTGCAATGGTTGTTAAAATATGAATAAGACCTGTAGATTAGTTACTGGTTTTAATGTTAATTTCCTATAGCTAAGAATTTTACAATGATCATTTATGATGTTAATTTTTAGGGAAATTGGTGAAAGCTCTAAGGGAATTTTTTTGTACTTTTTTGGAAACTTTTTTCTAAGTAAAATTATTTTAAATTAAAAATTAAATAAGCTAGGTGTGGGAGTGTCCACCTGTAATCCTGGCAACTTGGAAGGCTAGAACATTAGAATCACAAATTCCAGGCCAGCATCAGCAACTTAGTGAGATTATCTCAAAAATAAAAACACCTGGAATGTAGTTTAGTTTTCTCTGGGTTCAGTCCCCAGTACTGCAGAAAGACAAGGGAGGGAGGGAGGAGAGAAGGAGAAGAGTATTGAAGCAGGTAGGCACCACTGAGCTAAATCCATGGCCCAGCTTTTTATTTCTTTGCACGTAATCCTTAAAGCAGAAATGAAACAGAAAGTTCATACTTCTTACTTTGCAATTTTCAGGAGGGGCTAAAGATGGCTGAATTTCTAGATGACCAGGATACACGACTGTGTGACAACTGGTAAGAGATTAAATCTAAGAAATATTACTGAAATGAGCACAAACTAGTTTCTGCAGGGTTATTTCTTGATAGATTAAAATTGGAAATGTGTAATATATTGTGCAAGTAAATGTCTTTAAAACTTTTAAACAAAAAATGTGACTAAATTGCCTACTTTAGTAAATTTTTTTTTTTTTTTTTTGAGACAGGGTCTCACTATGTAGTTGAGACTGACCCGGAACTCACTATGTAGTCCATGCTGGTCTCGAACTCACAGCAATCCACCTGCCTCAGCCTCCTGAGTGCTGGGATTACAGGTGTGCGCCACCATGCCTGGCTCTACTTTAGTAATTTAACAAGATGGTAGGTTTAGGTATAATAGAGAAGTGAATGGAATGATGGCATGAGGCTGGCAGTCAGGGCTCTGGTTTCTGTCTTTAATTAGTGACTTTTAATGCCAGCCAGGGTGGCACATACCTATAATCATAGCATTTTGGAGGCTGAGGCAGATCATGGAGGATCATGAGTTCCAGGCCAGACTGGGCTACTTAGTAAGACGTTGTCTCAAAAAATAAAACAAAACAATAGAGGATTGAGAATGTAGCTCAGCATGAAGGTCCTGAGTTCATCCCCCTGCTGAACCACCAAAAAAACCCAAAAGACTTTTAGTAAGTCACTCAACTGCTTGGAAGCCATTTTTTTTAACCTAGGACACTGAACATGCTAGGCAAATGCTATACCACTGAGCTCCCCAGCCCCTAGAATCTCACCTGCATAAAGAGAACTTATTTTTGTATGTTTGGACATATTATTAAACTGATTAAAAAACATATAATGAATATTTAGATTGTAGCAGTGTTTTCCAAAGTTTTCCTTTAAAAAGGAGGAGCTGGGTGGCACATGCCTATAATCCCTGTGCTTGAGGCTTAGGCAGGAAGATTACTGAGTTTGGGGCCAGCCCGAACTACATAGTGAGAACCTGTCTCAAAACAACAACAAAAAAGAGACATGGGTCTCATTGAGCTCTTAAGGCAGTCAAGTTAATCATTACTTCATGGTTCCAAAGCTATTTGTGAGGGTTGGATATAGTCTTGATTGTCAGACTTTCTATTTGGAAGTTTTTAATCCACAGAAATGATAGGAAAGAGAAACTCCTTGTTGAAATGAAACCCAGGCATCCAGTTAAAACAGTTGGTCCCCCTGTGGGGATTTCTCAACAATTTATCCTGACATTTTGGTGATACACAAGTGCTCCTCCTGAAAGCTAAAGAAAAAACATCAAAACAGATCTTGATATCCTATGGTTTTTTTTTGTTTTTGTTTTTGTTTTGGTTTTTTTTTTTTTTGAGACAGGGTCTCACTATTTAGTTGAGATTAACCTGAAACTCACTATGTAGCCCAGGCTGGTCTCGAACTCACAGCGATCCTCCTGCCTCAGGCTCCCGAGTGCTGGGATTACAGGTGTGTGTCACCATGCCCGGCTATCCTATGTTTAATTTGCCAAATTGTGGTATAGGGAGAGATGTTGAATAAAAGAAGATAATTCGATGCAAATTATTGAAAGGTTTGAGTCAAATTTTTTAATATTGTTGTTGCCTTTTTCTTTCAGCAGAATTAGAATATAATTAGAGCAACGGCTGGTCATAATATTCTTTCCCTGCATAGAATTTAAATTAAAAAAAAATTTGGAGGTAGATTTAGCTCAGTGGTGCTGCCACGTGCCTCACAAGGGCAAGGTCCTGAGTTCAATCTCCAGTACCGAAAAAACAAACAAACCACCTTTTTTTTTTTTTTGAGACAGTCTTGCTATCTGTGTAGTTCAGCCTGCCTTGAACTCATTATGTAGCCCAGGCTGGCCTTGAACTAACTGCAAATCTCCTGCCTCAGGCTCCTGAGGGCTGGGAATCACAAGTGTGTGCCACCACACCTGGCAGAAGGCTTACACTTTTTATTTTGGCATATATTGTGTTCAAGAATAGATTTCTACTTGTTTGTATTTAGGGTTTGGCTACTAGAGATTTCTCTGGAAGCGTTGGTTTACCTTTAAATCATTTCTATCTAAAATGAAATTTCAAGCCGGGCATGGTGGCACATGCCTGTAATCCCAGCACTCGGGAGGCTGAGGCAGGAGGATCAGTATGAGTTTGAGACCAGCCTGGGCTACATAGTGAGTTCCACAGCAGTATGAACTACATAGTGAGACCCTGTCTCAAAAAACAAAACAAAAAAAAAAAAAAAAAAAGAAGAAAAAAAAGAAATTTTACCTCTTAGCTCTTCCTTGGGACTATTAGCAGTATTATTATTTTTTTTTTTTTATTTTGTTTTGTTTTTTGAGACAGGGTCTCACTATGTAGTTCATACTGCTGTGGAACTCACTGTGTAGCCCAGGCTGGTCTCGAACTCGCTTCTGCCTCTCAGCCTCCCGAGTGCTGGGATTACAGGCGTGCGCCACCACGCCCGGCTGTTAGCAGTATTATTGATACATGGAACTATGTTATCATTTGCCTCACTGAAACCATCTTCATTTTTTTCTGTTGGGAGGAAGCAGGTTTATTGGTGTTTTACCTGGTTGAAATTTTTAGTGGGAATATCTTGGTAATAAAATTTGAAAAGAAAAATACTCAGCAGGCAGCTGCTTTATGTAATTGTTACAAATACCTCTTTTTTTGGTATCAGGGATCGAACTCTGGTCCTTGTGCTTGAGGCGGAACCACTGAGCTAAATCCCTGGCCCAATATCTCTTTTTCTTTTAAGGTTTCCCAAGAGGTGAAAATGTAGAATAGGAAATGCTCTGTGGTTTTAACTTGACAGCTGTTTTGGTTCCTCTTCATATTGTGTTCTTGTAGTCCTTAATGCATTTTCTTTTAGTTCTAAAGTTTTAGTGGCCTGGCATGCATCAATGCTCCTGTCAGCAGGTTATTCTGAGTAGCCCTGTAAAATAAAAAATAGAGCTGGGTGTGGTGCCACAGGCCTGTAATCCCAGCACTTGGGAGCCTGAGGCAGGAGGATCGCTGGAGACCAGCCTGGGCTACATAGTGAGTTCCAGGTCAGTCTCAACTACATAGTGAGACCCTGTTTAAAAACAAAACAAACAAAAAAAACAACAACAACAAAAACAGATTTGTTTTCTCAATTTTTTCCCACTTAAAAGAAAATGATGAAAAAGGAACCCAGGGTCTGCACACACTTTTTTTGTACCATTTATAACCTTTTTTTTTGATACTGTGGATTGAACTCAGGACCTTCTGCTTACCAGGCAAACAGGGTGCCACTGAGCTAAATCCCTGGCCCTCTTGTGTTTTTTGTTTGTTTGTTTTTGAGATGGGGTCTCTCTATTCAGGATGGCCTTGAACTCACTATATAGACCAGCTTGGCCTTGAACTCTGGAATTTGAATCCTCCTGCCCGGCCACCAAGAGGAGTATGCCACCATGCCGAGTTTACTTCTTGTTTCAGCCTTTTAAAAAATATTTGGTTCTTTGGAGATATGGCCTTGCTATGTTCTAGGCTACACTTAAACTCACTGTGTAGCCCAGGCTTCCCTCTGGATTCTTCTGCCTCAGCCTCTTAGATGGCTTGGATTACATGCATATTCACCACACCTGGTTTGTTTTGACTCTTTTTGTGTGTGTGTGGTCCTGGGATCAAACTCAGGACCTTGGGCTTGTGAGGCAGGTGCAGGTGTCACTGAACTCTAAATCTCCAGTCCCTGTTTAGACTTTTTTTTTTGTACCAGGGATCAAACTGAGGACTTTGCGCTTGCAAGGCAGGCAGTGGCACCACTTAGTTAGCTAAATCCCCAGTCTGTTTAGACATTTTTAAGACTTTCATTTTTTTAATAATTTTGTGATGCTATAATGAAATTATTCATCTATAATCCTAAGACTGGGGTGATTAGGTTCAGCAATGTATAATTTTGTAGCCCCAGAAACACATTTTCAAGTTGTTTTTAAGCATTTTATATGAAGACTAGTAATATAACATAACAGTTTCTAGTTTCTAGTACTAGTACCAGTAGAGTACTAGTTTCATAATATCTTTAATAGTTATGATTTACTGGTTTTAATCTTTAAAATAAGTTTAGGGCCAGGTGTGGTGGCACAAGCCTGTAATCCCAGCACTTGGGAAATAGAGGCAGGAGAATTGCCATGAGTTCGAGGCCAGCATGAACTGCATAGGGAGACCCTGTCTCAAAAAACAAAAAATAAGTTTAAGATGATAATTTAAGTTGGGCACAGTGGCACATGCCTATAATTCCAGCACTCTGGAGATTGTGGCAGGCAGGTAATGAGTTCAAGTTCTGCCTAGGGAATTTATCCAGAGTTTGTCTCAAAATTAAAAAAAAAAAAAAAAGGCTGCTGGGCGTGGTGGTGCACGCCTGTAATCTCAGCACATGGGAGGCAGGAGGCTCACTGTGAGTTTGAGGCCAGCCTGGGCTACATGGTGAGTTCAAGGCTAGTTTGGACTGCATAGGGAGACCCTGATTCAAAAAGCAAAACAAAACAAAAACCAAAATGAACTCAGGTTATAGCTCAATGTGAAGATGCTGGGTTTAGTGTTCAATCCCAGTACCAAGGAGGGGGGAGGTTAAAAAAAGATGGTAATTTTTGGTATAGCTCTTTCCACTGCATATTTTATAGTTTAATTTTTTTAAATTAATTTAAAATCAGTGGGCTGGGACCAGGGGTGGATTTATTTATTACTATGTTTTTTTGTACTGGGGATTGAACTTGGGCCCTTGAGCTTGTGAAGCAGGTGGTGGCACCACTGAGCTAAATCCCTGGCCCACTCAGTGGTTCCACCGCCTGCCTCACAAGCACAAAGGACCTGAATCCGATCCCCAGTACCAAAAAATAAAATAAAATCAAATCAGTGGTTTCCTTAGAAAGGTAGGAATTTGGGAGAAATAATGGAAAGTTAAATGTGCCTGGTCTTTTGGTGAATTCCATCTTTATTCATCTACATTTTCTTCTCACCTCTCACAATTATCCTTTCTCCATCCACTTATGTTCTGAGAGTGCCTTGGGATCCAAAGCTTGATAACTTTGTCCCTGGAGTAAACTGAATTTGTATTTCTGTGGTGTTTTGGCCTTTCATACTGAGAGAACTACCACAGCTGGAGGCGTATCATTCATCTTCCTTCCAAAAGTTTCTTAGATTTTTGTATTAAAATTAAAGCTGTAAAAGAAGAAATAAGCTATTCATATCTTGGTGTGGGAGAGGGTTGTTGTAGTGTTCACTTTGAGGCAAAATAGGACATTGAAGACTTACTGCTGGCCGTGGTGACGTGTACCTCTAGTCACAGCTACCCAGGAGGCTGAGGTGGGAGGATGAGATAAGCCGTAAGTCTGTGGCCAGCCTCAGCCACATAGATCCATCTAAAAATTTTTTGCTAGGCTGGGGATATAGCTCAGTGGTGCCGCTGCTTGCCTTGCAAGCACAAGGTCCCCGGTTCGATCCCCAGTACCAAAAAAAATTTTTATTTTTTTGCCATTGTTGTATTATGATATTGGTCTTATTCAGTATTTTGTTTTTCTGAATTTTTATTCTAGGTGACATACTATTTGGTACATTCTTAGCTAGATTGCAATTGGAGTTTTCTAGTGATATCCAAATAAAAAGTAATAGTGAATATTATTGAATAGTGTATGATCACTGTGAGTTTGAGACCAGCCTAGGCTACATAGTGAGTTCCAGGTCACTCTCAGCTACATAGTGAGACCCTGTCTCATCCCTGGTACCAAAAAAAAAAGCCCTTTCTCAAAAAACAAAACAAAAGAAAGATAATGGACACTAAAGATTAAACAGGGCTGATTTCTGTGTGATGTCACTGTGCAAGAAAAAGTATAGGTCAGTTAGTAATGCTTGTGTTTTCTCTGATCTTTTTCTGTAGCAAAAAAGAAATTCCTGTGTGTAACTTTACCATCCATGAGATCCACTGTCAAAGGAACATTGGTATATGTCCTGTCTGCAAGGAACCATTTCCCAAATCCGACATGGAGATTCACATGGCTACAGAACACTGTCAGGTGAACGGCCAGTTCCACAAACGTTCATGAATAGGCTGTACTTACCATTGTTCGTCAGATGTATTACACTTGTTATTGTGCAATAACAAATGAGCTTATGTCACAACCAGTTTATTGATTCTCACTTCCTATCCTAGGTGACTTGCAAATGTAACAAGAAGTTTGAAAAGATGCAGTTAAAGAAGCATGAGGTTAGTCTTGCACTAGGAGAATGAGTGAGCTACCAGAAGGATGCCAAGGCCAGTCCTGTTGAGATTACAGAGCTATATGCAGAGCGCAAGCCAGTCTGGTGGAGTCTTTGTTCCTCACACCTTGTGCATACTGCCTCTCAGAGCCTATTTGAAGCTTCAACTGCTACCAGATTTGGCTGCCTGGCCCTCGTACTCCATGCTCAGGCCTCAGATTCTTTCCGTTGGGAACAAGTCTCATTTCTGCTAGGGTCTGGCTGTTGGTAGCCATAGCGAGTACAAACCAAGCCCAGGGTTGCCTGTACAGAGCAACCTCATCAGCACACAGCCTGCCTTATTACACATTGTAATTTCCTTATGAGTTCTCAGCAGGCTGGGTTATTCCTGAAGAAATTTCTCAGCCTTTAGTGAGAAAAAAATGTGATATCAAGTGGTCACTAGTTACGATAAAAATGGCCAGGGCCAGGGATTTAGCTCAGTGTGGCACTGAGCCTGTCTCGCAATCACAAAGTCCTGAATTCAATCCCCTGTACCAAAAAAACAAACAACAACAACAAAAAAAACCAAAAAAAAAAACCCAAAAAAAAAACTGGCCAAAATTGCATAAGTGTGTTTTAGTTCACCAGTTAAAACTGGGGGGGAGGTTTTTGCTTTGGCATAGTGGTTGTACCCAAACTTTTGAAATAATGTTACATGAAAATTGTATACTTAAACTCTCAAATTTTAGTTTGTGCATTTTATTTTATTATTTATTTATTTATTTTTGGTTCTGGGGATCAAACTTGGGACCTTGCGCTTTCGAGGCAGGTGCTGAAACCACTGAGCTAAATCCCTGGCCCTGGTTTGTGCATTTTAGAATAACATTTCTTTATATTGTTTTGATGTTTTTATTGTTTTGTTTTGTTTTCATTATGTTAGTGACAATTTCCAAATAAGTATAAAGGTTTATTTTTGTTTTTTGGTGGTACTGGGCCTCAAACCCAAGGCCTTTTCACTGAATGACATTCCAGTCCTTATTTTACATATTTGAGATGGTCTTAACAGGTTGCCCAGGCTGGGCTTGAATTTATAGTGCTCTTGCCACATCCTCCCAGCGCACTGAGATTGATCACAGGTGTGCGCCACCATGCCTAGCCAAGTAAAAAACTTTTTTATTTTTTATTTTTTGGTATCAGGGATCAAACTCAGGTCCTTGTCCTTGTGAGATTGGCGGGGCACCACTGAGACAAATCCCTGGCCCTAAATGCTTTCATTCTTCATCGGCTGAATGTAATTATACTTTTGAGTTTATCTTCACTGGTAATTCCTGGTTTTTTTAGGTCTATTTAGAGCCATGCTAAATACAAACATGAAGTTATAAAAATGTGTCTTTGTAAAGGGCAGGCTCTTCTTACTAGCTAGAGTGAGTTGGAATAGTAAGGGGACATTGTTGAAGCTTGCTTGCTTGCTTTATTGGTACTGGAGATTGAACTTGGGACCTTGCAATTGCAAAGCACATGGTGGAACCACTGATCTAAATCCCTGGCCCTGTTGAAGCTTTAAAAAAAATCTGAATTGCTTTTTTTTTTTTTTCTTGTACTGGGGACTGAACTCAGGGATTCTGTATTACTGAACTATATCCTCAGCCCTTTGTACTTTGACATGGTCTCCGTGAGTTGTCCAAGCTGATCTCAAATTTGTGATCCTCCTGCGTCAGCCTGCCAAGTAAGCAAGCTTGGATTACGGCATGCACCACCATACCTGGCTTGCTGTACTTATTTGTTTCTAGGTTCAGTCTAATTTTGGGTTACTTTGTTATAGGTATACAAAATGATGTGATGGGGTAATTTAGTAGGTGAGAGTAGAGAAGAATTTCTATCCTTGTCTTTGTGGCAGAAACAAAAGGAGAAGCCATGACTTTTAAATACAGTATGTAGAAAGCGGTGGGTCAGGGGTCAGGGATGTAGCTCAGTGGTGCTGCGCCTGCCTGGCAAGTTCAAGGTTCTGAGTTTGATCCCCTGTACGGGGTGGGAGGGGCTTAGCAGGCAAAGCTACGGTTGATAAAGAGTTGTGCCCCCCATGGCATTGAACCAGTGCCTCAAGCACGTGAAGGCAGGCATTATCACTGAGCTAGATCCGCAGCCCAGAGGAGAAGATTGAAGTGACATTTTTGCTTTCTTTTCCCTGTATTAAAACACAGCCTGTTGGTGGGAATGGTGGCACACACCTGTAATCCCAGCACTCAGGCTGAGGCAGAAGGACCACCACAGGTTTGAGGCCAGACTAAGCTACATAGTGAGTTCAAAGTCATTCTGAACTACATAGCAAGACTCAGTCTCAAAACCCAATTCCTTCCCCATCCCTTACCCCTCAAAAACCCAGCCTCTCCTAGGTGTGTATATCAACTACCTCATTGCTCTTGTGTTGCAGGAGACTGAGTGCCCTCTACGGCTTGCTCTCTGCCAGCACTGTGATTTGGAGCTTTCTGTTCTCAAACTGAAGGAACATGAAGATTACTGTGGTGCCCGCACAGAGCTGTGCAGTGCCTGTGGGCGCAATATCCTTGTGAAAGATCTAAAGACTCACCCTGAAGTTTGTGGGAGAGGGGAGGAGGAAAAGAGAAATGAGGGTGCCATACCTCCTAATGCATATGATGAGTCTTGGGGTCAAGATGGAATCTGGATTGCATCCCAACTCCTCAGACAAATTGAGGCTCTGGACCCACCTACAAGGCTGCCCCGAAGGCCCCTGAGTGACTTTGGATCAGACTTTTTCCATAATAGGACTACCAACCAAAGGAACGTAACAGCCCATTTTCCAGTTCAGAATAATCCATGTGAGTAGTGCTTGGAATTAGGAAAGGAAACAGTATTGAAATTCCAGGGCAGCAGGTTATGCTGGCACATGCTCTTGGGAAGTGGAGGCAGGAGGATCACAAGTTAGAGACCAGCCTAAGATATATATATAGTGAATTCATGGCCAGCCTGATCTACATAGTGAGACCCTGTTCTTAAAAAGTCCCAAGGCAATTTGGAACAGGGATTTGGAGCCAAATAGATGTTGATTATTGAAGCCTAACTGTAGCAAGTTAGTGTTGAAAGAGTACCTTTTTATTTTGTTTTGTTTTTTTGAGACAGGGTCTCACTATATAGTTGAGACTGACCTGGAACTCACTTGGAGCTATCCTCCTGCCTCAGCCTCTGGAGTGCTGGGATTACAAGCTAGGATTACAGGCATGCGCCACCACACCCGGCTAAGAGTACCTAATCTATGAAGTGGGGGGGATAGAGCCTTTTTACTACTGAATGTTTAAAGTTGATGATAATAACAGTATCATAAGTGGCTGACTCTTGCCACATGTGGTAGTGCACACCTATAATCCCAGCATTTAGAAGGCTGAGGCAGGAAGATGGTGTGGAGAGTTTGAGGCCAGCCTGGGCTATATAGTTTAAGTCCAGGTGGAACTACATAGCAAGACCCTGTCTCAAAAAACAAACAAAAGGGCCAGGGATTTAGCTCCACCACTTGCCTCGCCCAATGTCCTGAGTTCGATCTATGCTACCAAAAAAAACTAACCAAACAAAACGTAGCTGACTTTTTTTTTGAGACAGGGTCTCACTTCTAACTATGTAGTTGAGGCTGACCTGGAACTCACTATGTAGCCCAGGCTGGTCTCGAATTCACAGTGATCCTCCTGCCTCAGCCTCCTGAGTGCTGGGATTACAGGTGTGCGCCACCATGCCCAGCTTCGGTAGCTGACTTATAGCTTGTGAACTTCAGGCATTTGTAGAGTATTTTACATGTATTAATTCTAACAATGGGAGGAGGGTACATAAATGGTACGGTTGAGATTTAAATTCAGATGATCTGACCCCATGCTTGAAAAAATGGCTTGGTGGTTGTCTTATTTTTACAGTTTAGTAATACTGCTTTTTGTTTTTTTTTGTTTTTTTTTGTTTTGTACCAGGGATCAAACTCAGTACCTTGTGCTTACAAGCAAGGCAGGTGGTGGCACCACTGAACTAAATCCCCAGCCCAGTAATACTGCTTTTAATAATATATTAAAATAGTTATGGAGCCTGGTCTCTTAGCAGCAATGTTTAAAAGACCTAAGAGAGTGAGGTCAGCGTTGCTCATAGTGGAGTTGGGTACATTTTATTTATTTATTTTTAAGAGTAGGAAACTATTGAGGGAAAGAAAGCTTCGTTCGGTATAAGAGACAGAAGGGGACCAGAAAGTGGGTTGTTCCTATAGTGGAGTTGGGTACATTTTAAACCTTGACCTTTGCTACGACAGGATTTGGGTTGTGGGGTGGCAGCATCTCTAATGTGCTTTGAGTGCTGGGTTTTCTTTTTCCAGTTGAAGAACAACAAAGGCAGGAAAGGAGTAGAGGCCTAAAGCCACCCCCAAAGGGTGGTGAAGATACTGCAAACTTGGACTTCATGTTGGCCCTAAGTCTGCAGAATGAGGGCCAGGCCTCCAGTGTGGCCGAGCAGCAGGACTTCTGGAAGGCTGTGTGTGAGGCAGAGCAGTCTCGTGGTGGGCCCAGTTCTCTGAGTGACACAAAGGGTAGGTTTGCTTATTCTGCCCTAGCTTCTGTCTGTAATTTTGTTAGTCTTTACTTTATGCAATTCACATGAACACAAAATATTTTTATTTTTTTATTGTTTTTCTTTTTATTGAGTTTATTGGTACATTTTAGGTAGACAGCACAGTTACATTCATTATTGGGATCTTGTACCTTTACATGACAGGTCTTGGTTCTCATTTTTCCCCTTGTCCCTGCCCTCCCTTCACCCCCTCCTCCCCTCCCCATTTACAAACATTTTATTTCCATTTTTTTTCATTTTCTCCCATTTTTTTTCTTTCCCTTATTACCTTTCCCCTACCCTTCCCACTTTCCCTACACCTTTAGCCCTCTTCCTATTTCACATTGTTAATTATCCCATTAGGATCTTATGTACTATTATAGTTTTTCACACCAGAGAAACTATTCGGTTATTTACACATGTATGACTTACTTGTTTCACTTAGGAGTATATCCTCAATATGTATCCATTTTCCTATGAATGACTCTAATTTCTCATTCTTTATGGCTGAGCAGTATTCCATTTTATAGAAAAGCCACATCATCTTTATCCAGTTTTCAACTGATGGGCAAATGGGATGTTTCCATGTTTTAACTATTACAAACTGTGCTGCTATAAACATAGGTGCGTATATGTCACTGTGGTATGATTCTAATTCTTTTGGAAAGATACCCAGCAGAGGGATGGCTGGGTCAAATGGAACCTCTAGTCCTAACTCTTTGAGGTATCTCCATATTGACTTCCACAGTGGTTGCATCAGTCTGCACTCCCACCAACAATGGAGCAGGGTTCCTTTCTCCCCGCAACCCCGCCAACATTTGTTATTGTGTGATTTCTTGATAGCAGCCATTCTTTGTGGGGTGAGGTGGAATCTCAGTGTTTTCATCTGCATCTCTCGAATGACCAGTGATGTGGAACATTTTTTCATATATTTCTTTGCTGCTTTTACTTTTTTGTCTGAGAAATGTCTGTTCATTTCAGATGCCCTTTTTGAATTGGGGCTTTATATTTGCAGAGAAAATTTTTTATTTTTTGGCAGTACCAGGTATTGAACGCAGGACCTTGCCTCTTGGCAGGCAATGGCGCCACTGAGCTAAATCTCTGATCCTAACATGAACGATTTTAATGAGATAGAATTTGCTTAAATATTTTTGGTTTGTTTGCTTTATTTTTCTCCTTTTCTCCAACTTATTTTCAAATATTGTCAGAGTAGAGTTGTCCAAAGTGGCACTTGTCTTTAATCCCAGCTGCTCAGGAGGCTGAGGGTAGTGATGGTGGCAAGTTTGAGGTCAGATGGGCAACAACATAGAACTCATGTTGGGATAAAAAACACTAGAATGCAAATCCACATATCCTAGTCTATGTTCAATTTAATACCACATTTACCTTTCTCTATAGCATTTTCCCTGAGAGTAAGTCATAGGACATTTTATGCCTAAATACTTTATAATGTCTCTTTGTTTCCCATTTTCCCCCTACCCTCAAACTCCCTCTCATGTGTCTCTCAATAAGAGTATTTTTCTGTGTAAACACAATAAATGTACCTCTCAGGAAATTTAATGTAAATTCTCTACTTTAGTACTAAGTCCTTCAGAATTTTGTTTTGTAGTTGAGACTGACCTGGAACTCACTATGCAGCCCAGGCTGGTCTCAAACTCACAGTGATCCGAGTGCTGGGATTACAGGCTTGCGCCACCATGCCCAGCTTTTTGTTTTGTTTTGGTTTTAATCTTTATCTTGTAGGACATTGGCACTTCAAAAAGTCCAGGGTTAGTTTTTTGCAAACTATTTTTTCTCCAATTTAAATTTATGTGATTCTTTTCTTGTCTTTAGATACAGTTTTGTCAATGCTTATTGGTGCTTCTGTTTATGTTTTTTTGGTACTGGGGATCAAGCTCAGGACCTTGCACTTGCAAAGCAGGCTCAGTGCCACTGAGCTACATCCCCAGCTTCTGTGTCTATCTTGGAACAGGAGCTTGTCTCATTATTCCCTAAGGTGAATAAGGGTACCTTTTAGATGTCCCTGTTATATGGCTAGTTTTTTCCCCTTGTAATAGCTTGTGAGGTATTTTGAGGTTGTTGGGGTATGGATTATTTGTGTAGTCTTATCTAGCCATTTTGGTATTTATTGATGTTTCTTGCTTGAGTCAGGTTATAAGATGGTGAATTTTCTTGTTTCTATCCTTTTTTCTTTTTCTTTTTTTTTTTTTTTTTTTTTGAGAGGG